TATTGTAATAATTAACTAACAGATAATTAAAACTTTACTGTGCTCTTGGATAGGGATAGCTAATGTCTTACAAATCCCAATACATTGTTCACTAAGTGGACAGAGTACAACAGGAGTCTTTCAGCATATGTTTATGACCTTAGTTAAGACTTGGTTTAGCCTGTGGTCAGTGCTGTACATAAGCCTCTGAAAACATCAGCCATCACAGTGCTATTTCCTCCATTTGTTTTTCTCAGCCAAGTAAGTGCAGTAATATACCAGTGGCAAATGAAACTCATTACCACTAGCATTAATTGAAGGCCAAATGCATTGGGTTTCTTCGAGCGAGTTATTTTCACTCCAGGCATTAGGCAACAATTTCAATCGAGAAAGTCATGATGAGCTATGATTCACATTGAGCCACTCTCTTGATGAATGCTGCATTGAAAATACTGGTTACAGATTACTGCTGCGAGTTACACATTCCCATTTTATCATTTAATTTCATTCTCACATACTAAAAGCGTACTGGGAGCAGGGAACAATTGCTGATGAGTGGACAAATTATTTTCTCACTCTGGGTAGAAATTTAGCAAGATTTATAAAATAATTAATTGTTATTACATTAGGAGAATGTCTCAAAATACTTCACGGATTTTACTATAAAAAGGCAAGAGTGCTACCAACTGAGCTAGACTCGCTTTGTCCCTTGCCCTCATTTTTATACTTCTGTGTAACAATAAAATTGTCTTTCAACAGACAGAGTGGGTTTTGACATGTGCAAAACATCAAACACACTGACAACGTATTCCCACCTGAAGGAGAAGAGAGTTTCACAGATGTAACTGTCACCATAGGACTGATACAGATGTGTGGGTGAAAATATAAGCCAGTGTTTTTGTGCATTAATCAGGCATCTGCTTGTTCACTTGAATATGAATTAAATTTGGTTCCCCTTATCTCCTGAATTATCCACGAACTCCACAGTGTGGCAAAGATCCGGCCACCTCACTGCTGTTTTAATAATAATCCTTGCATTTGATATAGTGCCAAGCACATTTGGGAGGACATTTTAAAGCACTTCATAGGATTCACTGCAAAGTGTAATGATTACTTTCGTAGGGGAATGCAGCTGCCAATTTGCGTACAGCATTGTCCCACAAAAAGCCATGAAGTGAATAAACAGTTTATCTGGAGAATTGATTGATACACTGGGAGAAACGCTCTTCTCTTTTGAATAGTGCCAGGGGATCTTTAACTTTCACCTGAACAGGCAGGTGGGACCTCATTTTTAATTAAAGGATGCAGCGCATCCTCAGCAATACACTGAAATGGCTATGTGCACTGTGAGTTCAATGTCCTAATGTGTGGCTTCAACCCACGACTTGCTATCTCAGGGGCGAGACTGGAGCCAGGTTTTACCAAAACACTGATGGCTGCCACATGCCCTCTTAATGTGCAAAACAGCTTTCAGTGGCGTAGTTTTAGATACCTGGATTGGGTCTAGATGCACAATGTTGCCTTGGTCAGCCTTAAATTAATATCCCTCTTTGTTTCAAGCCCCTGACAATTCATTTTTATAAAAAAAAGGTATGAATATTGAGGACTCACTTGCTGAGAATAACTTTGGTTTCTGACGAGACACAAAAATTACAGCCTTTTCGTTCAATATATTGGAGATAGTGTCAACTTCTGGTAATTAATGCAAAAGACCATGTTAAAATAAATACACTTTCCAGTTGATTAAATGTATTACAAACACTCTGTATTACAATGTTACTGAAAGCCTAGGTATTTCAGTCAACAATTCAACATAAGCATGAGAATCAGTCAATAATGCAACAATACACTCAACCTCTGGTTACCTCATGTGAAGATAGTCCAGGGTATTGGTCATGAAGGTGAATCATTTGCCTTAACACTATGGATTGTGACATGATGAGTTAGCAATCATAATAATAATCTGTGTATTTGAATAGCGCCTTATCATATCCTCGAGACGTCTCAAGGCGCTTCACAGAATATAAGTGGATGGATTGACTGTGTATTTTGTGGGCGAAAGCAAGAAGCAGAAAGGAAATTAAATGAGACCCCCTAAGCAAAGTGACACAGCTCCCCCTGCCCTCCTGATCCTTCAAGATGTGTATCCATTAGGTGGTAATATTGCTTTTATTTCCATGGTTCTGTTGTGCGACTTCTGTCAGGAAATGACACTGAAAAGAACTGAGATCACTGTGCTGCACAGTCAAAAAACACAGAACACACTGAAGATTTATTTTTAAAAAAAAACCAATGAGCTTTGGGATAATTTGGAGTGAAATCGTTGCCTAAAGACAGCCCTAAATCCAAACGATGCTGAATACAGTGTGTAAAACAAAACCACATGCACTTGATCTGTCTGCAGCTGGAAACTCTGCAAAACCGAAAAGACCGCAGTCGCAACCCCTTCGCAATACGAATCCTTTCCAAGTAAACGTGAAGCTGTTACGTGAAGAATTTCGCTTCCCAAAACATCTCAAGGGCATTGCAAAGAAAAAAAAACAACCCCCACCACTACCCCCCAACTCCCCCAAACCCACCTCCTTCCCCGATCTGATCTGATCTGACAGACTGATCGCAATCTAATCTCGAACCCAGGGGTCTGATGGTGAGGTGATGGGAGGGGAGGGAGGGGGAGGGGGGTGGGGGGACATTTCATATAAAAAGTTTCTTTGATTTGATCGAACAAAGTCCTCAAAGCCCTGGAGGTGCCTATCTATCTATCTATCCCCCCCAACCCCCGGGCTATTTCATTGCAACCCCTTTACAACGCGTTGCAAAAAAAAAAACTGCACCTTATTTCCGCAAAGTGAGTGGGGAGGGGAGGGGAGGGGAGGGGGGAAAAAATAAAGGACTACAGAGTTTTTTTTTAAAAAATGTAAAAGAAAAAAAAACCAAACGTTTGATTTCAAAGCTTTTTGTGGTGATCTTGAATAGGGAAGAAATAGATGGTATTTTGCGGTGTGTGTGTGTGTGTTGTGAGTTGTGTTTCCTCCTCATCTCAGGGCTCTGGTCCTGACACAGACGAGAGGGGGAGATTGAGCCAACACCAACTGTCCAACCCCAACCCCAACACAACCCCAACACAACCCCAACACCAACCCCAACACCAACACAACCCCAACACAACCCCCACCCCAACCCCAACACAACCCCAACACAACCCCAACCCAACCCCAACACAACCCCAACCCAACACAACCCCCAACACAACCCCAACACAACCCCAACACAACCCCAACACAACCCCAACACAACCCCAACCCCAACACAACCCCAACACAACCCAACCCAACACAACCCCAACACAACCCAACCCCAACACAACCCAACACAACCCCAACACCAACACAACCCAACACAATCCAACACAACCCCAACACCAACACAACCCCAACACAACCCCAAACACAACCCCAAACACAACCCCAACCCCAACACCAACACAACCCCAACACCAACACAACCCCAACACAACCCCAACACAGCTACAACACAACCCCAACACAACCCCCACCCCAAACACAACCCCCACCCCAACCCCAAACACAACCCCAACCTCAGCAGATCAGGGACAGTCAGTCAGTCAGTCCCCTCTGCGCTCCCCCCCCCCCCCCCCCCCAGCCCTGGTTGCAGACCTGCCATCCCTCTGCCCTGTCCCGGCTCAGATCGCTCCCGGCATCCGCTCCACCCCAGTGCCGGGCGGTGCTGCAGCCTCTCTGTGTCATTTGCCCCTCTCAACCTGTCAGCGATCTCCCCCCGAGCTGCAGACGGAGCTGCTCGTTCAGCTCACCCCGACCGACGCCGTCCATCCGCACAGTCCCCGTCGCTCGCAGCCGATGCACCCCCCGAGAGGCCATTTGATTCCAACGAAGGGTGAGCCCCCTCCACTGGCTGCGCATCTCTGCGCTTTGTGGATTATTTCGACACGAAATTGAGTCGGTTCTGCACTCATTATTATTATTATTATTATTGCTAACCGACAGCAGTTTGCATTCGCTGTACCGCGGAGCCTTCCGCGCACGATAGCGTCTCAGGGCGCTGACCGCGTCTGCAGCGCTGGGACCCAGGAACAACCACAAGCCGCTGACTCCTGCCCGTCTCAGGGAGAGGGACTCAGCCTCCCCCGGAGAATTCAATCCATCCATGTTCCTGCAGCACCTGCATTTCTCTCCCCACCCCTCCAAAAAACAAAAAAAAAACACCCCCAAATCACACGAGAAACTTCACGCGCCACAAAAGTTTCCACACTTTGCAACGCACCCACAGTTACAGCATTCTGCGAAAAAACGTTTGTTGGCAATAAATAAGAATAAAGCGAAGAGATCCGAAAACCAATCCATCCTGTGTGTGTGTGTGTGTGTGGGGGGGGGGGGGGGGGGAGGGGGGGGGGCTGTATGTGCATGTGTGCGTGTGTGTGTGGGGGGGAGGCTGTATGTGTGTGTGTGGGGGGGTGTATGTGCATGTGTGTGTGTGTGGGGGGGGGGTGGTGTATGTGCATGTGTGTGTGTGTGGGGGGGGGTGGTGTATGTGCATGTGTGTGTGTGTGGGGGGGGGGTGTATGTGCATGTGTGTGTGTGTGGGGGGTGTATTTGTGCATGTGTGTGTGTGTGGGGGGGGTGGTGTATGTGCATGTGTGTGTGTGTGTGGGGGGGGTGTATGTGCATGTGTGTGTGTGTGGGGGGTGTATGTGCATGTGTGTGTGTGGGGGGGGGGGGGGGTGTATGTGCATGTGCATGTGTGTGGGGGGGGGTGTATGTGCATGTGGGGGTGGTGTATGTGCATGTGTGTGTGTGGGGGGGTGTATGTGCATGTGGGGGGGTGTATGTGCATGTGTGTGTGTGTGAGGTGTGGTGGTGGGGAGGGGGGGGGGGAGTGTGTGTGTGTGTGTGTGTGGGGGGGGTGGGGGGGGGGGGGGGATGGTATTCAGCCCTGAGAATAATTCGAGAGGTGCAGACGGTGCATGTTGCAAAGAAACGTACCTCCCGCGGCGCCTGTGCCTCAATCCACCGAAGAGCTTCACGTCCGACTGTCGGGACAGGTGCAAACTGCAGAGACCTGTCTGTCGTTTTCACGGGGTTTCTCCGGCACTGCAGTGCTCCGACAGCCAACTGCCCTGAACGCAATATGACGATCAGCGTCGAGGTGGATGTCGATATATAAAGCGGAGACAGACGGGCGATCAGTGCAGGAACTCCTCTCCCCCCCCTCCCCTCCCCCCTCCCCTCCCCGTGCAAACCCTGTGGTGCAGAGCATCCCCAGACCCCCGACAGCCTGACATGGGAATCCGATCCCAATAACTTTCCAGGAGCCCCCACTCCCGATCCGGTCCAACCGGGCGTTGACTTCTTGATCGGTTCCCCACTCGCTCTCCCACCGGTTTTACTAACCATTCAGAATAATCTCCACCATCGCCGCTGCTTTTTCCCCGACTCCTGGTCCTAACGCTCACCCTTTCTCCAGTTGGGGTGGGGGTTTTTTTTTGTGGTGGGGGTGGGGTGTGGGCTTCCTTTCACGTCGAACCTACACTTTTAAGTTCCTGGCAAATGTTTTCAATTCGTTTTAAGGTCAGGAGCCTCCTTCATCGGTTGTTATAATAATAATAATAATAATAATAATGATAATACTAATAATCATAATCATAATCATAATAATAATCCTTGCATTTGATATAGCGCTTTTCACGTCGGGAGGACGTCCCAAAGCGCTTCACAGAACACACTGTAAAGTGAATTGACTGTATATATTTGTGGGCGAACGCGGCAGCCAATTGCGCACAGCAATGTCCCACAAACAGTCGTAGATTGAAAATGACCAATTTATTATTGTTTTGTTTTGGAGGGATTATTATTAGGCTCTGTGTGGAGTAAGGAAACTTGCCCAAGGTTTCGCCCTCTGCCTGGAATTGAACTCAGGTCTCTCACTTGCAAAGCGAGTGCTCTAACCACTGAGCTACAGGACTACAGGTTGAGCATTTGAAAAGAAAAAGGGAAATCCTAGGTATAAACAGTGACCGTTTGGCAAACAAAAAAAAATGACATTTATATAGCAACTTTCCCATAGGATGAATGTCTCAAAAGTCCTTCACAAAAATATTAGGGAACACTGAGCAAGGAGGAGGAGGGCGCTGATCAAAGCACAGTCACATAGATTTGTTTTGCATCTCCTTGAAAAACTGGATTTTCAAGGCAGGAGAGAAAGAATAAGGTCACGGATTTAGGGAGAGAGTTTGATCAAACATCTGAAAGAGGAAAACAGGTTTGGTTTCCATGGCACTGGTGGAATTTGGTTTGGTACTCTTAAGCACAGTGATGGGTTTCTGCATGTGGTCGGATACCCAGCTGACCAAAAAAAAACAACCAGTATGCTTGTTCAGAAATGATCACTTCTATCCATTTGGGTGTTAACCTGCAATGCGTAAGCTATTTGGGCATAAGCCGCGTTCCATTAACAGGTCAGACTGCAAAATTGCTTCTGGGGTGAAAACGGCAACACGCAATGTGGGGAGGGAGGGGCCGAGGCGGAGGGATCGGCGGAGAGAGTTCAAGAGTTTCGGGGAGTAGTGGCTGAAGGCACTGCCACTGACATGACGGCTCTAAGCCACAGATGGCTCTAAGCCAGTGATGGCCATCAATGGAGATGACAGCCCGTGGCTTTTGAATACCACTTCATGAGATATCAGCTTCACTCACATTCAGGTAAACCGATATCCCATGAGCAGCAGTGAAATAGCAGTTGCATTCCTGCTAACTCCAATGATGTTGCCCTTGGCATTTAGCCATTGACTGGTCCGATTGCAATTTTGACAATGTGATGTGGAAAATCGACTTCCAAATTAAGACTTAATTTAGGAATTTTCCAATATTCTCTCAACCTTCAATTTTACTACAATTGTCTTCAGTTTAGGACTATGAGGAGGTTTTGACGTTTAATCAAGGACTCTAAATTATGAATAATTACTGCTTTAAAATTGAGTTTACTATGAACTTCTGAATACATAGATTATGTTAAAAGCAGTGATGAATTACCATTATCACCCATTTTACAAATTTTACAAATATCAATCTAATTTCAATTACTACTGTCGTTAATAGACATTGCTTATCTGACAAACTCTTTCATTCTGTATGCCTTTCAGGAAATGCCTTCACCCAGGGATGAATTATGAAAAGCTCTCAGAACAGTAGAGAATTTTTTTAACTTCTGGCGACAAATCTGGTACAAGAATTTGGTTTGAATTCTAGTCTTTGTTCATTCAACTCCAATACAATCATTCTTAGATCAAATTGTGTCCACCTTCCCTTAAAAGGAGTTATCAACATCTCTCAGAAAAATATGTTTCACTGTAGTTGAATCATTTTACCTTCGCTGCAATATAATAAATGCTACTTATTTTAGACCAATCTCCAGATGGAGCTATTGTACATGATAAATGACAGAAGAGTGGGTGGAGTGCTTTATTCATCACTAACAGTATAGCAGCATATCAATAGGTTGATTTAAATATTGCTATGGTTGTTATTGCAGATATACATCTGCACATTGTATCTGAACCAAATAAAGTACAATATTTCAATGATTAGATCTCATTTTTGTTGTTTTCAGCGTCTCATAAATCATTATAAGATCCTATCTCAGTAAGAAATAACCGACAAATGCTCCTAAAGCTAGCTGTAAATTGAAATGATTAATACTGGCATTTATCACTGAATTCTCAATAAACTCTGTCACATCTGCACAGAGATATAAGACTTGTCACCTACTCAGACATTGACATAATATAGGACAGGTAAACTTGCATAAGTCATCTCATTATAAATCGGATAATCACCCTAATCATACATGTACTCGAGTCCCATTTAGTTTCCTACCAAAAAACACTTAGATTTCTTTACGCGAGTCACATTTTACAAATCGGATAAACTTGATCATAATGATTTATTAATGTTCTTAATAAACTTAATGTAAATCATCACCTAATTCATATCACACCTACCACACTTACCGGCTGCATTGATGAAATACCACATGTTCAGTGCTGTGTAAGTCGTCTTAGATATTATGGTCCCAATTGATATAATTTATGCAAGTTTACCTGTAGTCACAAGAGTCAACAGGAATTAATAATCTATAATGAAGTTGTGAACTTCACTTACCACAGTGACCAAGAATTGATGGAAGAGTTCTAAATTCCAGTTCACAAGAGGTTACATAAAGGAGTCACTTCTATCATCATCAGAGGAAATTTTACAATCTCTTGCCTTATTTAAGATGGATGAGTCCAATATTTTTACCTGCCTTGAAAAGAGACATCCCAGGGGTACTTAAGCGAAGGTTTAGTAGAAGATACTAATGGGACATATCTTTAAAATACACCAAGGCAGCAGGACAAAAGAGCACAGGTTCAGGGTAGTCAAGGGCAATTTTAGAAGAGACACCAGGACATAATGAAAAATGATTGACCTTTGAAAAATGGAAAAACTTCTTAATGCAGATTGGAATAATTTTCACGAAAAAAATCAACCCATTATCTTGCCCAGCATTCTTGTGAATATATTGCTTTCTTGTATGCATTGCTTTCTTGTAATTCAATCATAGACTAAAACAAGGAATAAAGTACAAAGGCATAGGCCTGCCTACAAAATGAATAATAAACTTTGGAACAAGTTACCAACAAGATTGAGGTCAGAATACTGAACTCATTTAAGAAACTGAACTCATTTGATGCTGTGATGGGAAGACATGGGCATTTTGGAAGGATAAAGTCAGACAGAAGGACATCTTCATCTGAACTCGTAAGGAGTCCTGTAGCTTAATGGTTAAAACACTCACCTCGCAAATGAGAGGACCTGGGTTTGATTCCCAACAGGGCGAAATCTTAGGTAAGTTTCCTTACTCCACACGCCTCTGTTTACCTAGCAGTAAGTTGGAACCCAGTTGTTAGTCAATTGTCACATCGTTTTTCTGGGGGTCATAATTCTTTAAAAAAAAATAATTTGGTCACTCAATCCACGACTATTTATGGGAGACTGCTGTGCGCAATTGGCTGCCGCGTTTTGCCCACAAAACACACAGCCAATTCACTTTACAGTATATTCTGTGAAGCACTTTGAGCTGTCTCGAAGACGTGATAAGGCTACATCAAATGCAAGGATAATGGTGAAGTACCATGACATTTTTTTCTTTCAGGAAACCATGCAGTTTGAAACCATCCTATTCCTAGTAATTGGAATGCTCCATGTCTTTCAAAGAGTCTTTCAAAGAGGAAGTTTCCGTCTTATGTTACTTGGTGCACAATATTCCAGGGTTATTATTTTGGGGTTACTGTTTCCAGTTTCATAGATTTCTTCCATCGAAACAAATATTGGTGGAACTACGCAAGCATATTGTTGGGGGAGGGTATGTCCACATCCATATAAATCGGAGGAGGTGAGCAAGCTTGGAGGAACTGTTATATATGACATTCAATTGTATAGTGATACCTCCTTGAATAAACGATCACCATTTCAAACCTACTGTATCTTGCTTTAGGACATTCACTAGGCATTTCCTGGATACTTGGCAAATTACCATATTGTTCTGTGCAATATGGAACAAATATGTTAAACTGAATACAGATTTGAATACAACTAGAATGGGATTAGTGATGAAATTAATACAGTTTGAAGTTTAAGTTACTTGTCAGAATGACAATAACAATGCTGTTTGCAGCGTTTGCTTTCTTTCCTGCACTTTTCTTTCAAACGCTTGAAGGTTTAAGAATGTGGATCTTGGGAGCTGTAAAGCGTTGTAATTATCTTCACGGTTCCAACATTCGCTAATGCATTTCCAATAACAGGTTCCATGCAAAACCTCATAAAGGTGCTACTACTATTGCTTCCCAGTTAGTTTAACAATGAAATCTAAAATGTTGTAGTTGCAAAAGGTTTCAAAATATATTAATGTTGAATCCAGCAGGTGACCAAATGTGCATTTCACCGACCTGCAGAATCTCTGATTGGATGCACCCAGAAAGAGATCAAATCAAAGGTGTTTGCATGACACACATCCAGTTATCGCTCGCATTCCATATTTATGAATTCTGGTCAAATCTTGTGCATTTTAGATTCCATTGTGTGCGGTTCATGGGATTCCCATTATAAATTCATATTGACTAAATGTGCTGAATGCACTGTCTCATGAGAATCATCATTTCTGGAGTCA